TCTGTGTTGCCTGTTTCCCTCAGGTCTCATAAGACATCTAAGACTCCTTGCTTATTAATCAGTAATACTCAGATCCTTAACCCCACATGGTACTGTTTGTCTTCTCATCAGACCCTTATCTCCCACCCTTCTCCAACTTTGTAAACCATTCTTCAATCAGATTCACAACCCATCAACAGCAAAATTCATTTTGTCTTCCAGCTTTCTTTTTACATGTCACTTTTACTTTCTAAAACTTGGCTATCATGGATTGAGGAGCTCTGGTAGCATACTGCCTAAGGCATTTGACTACTAACCAGAAGGCTGGTGGTTCAAACCCATCAGCCACTCATCAGAAGGAAGAATGGGCAATCTACTTCTGTAGAGATACCACCCTGGAAACCCAAGGAGGGGTCGCTATGAGTCAGGACCGACTTGATGACAGTGAGTTTGGTTTTTTGGTATCATGGATTGAGTTGTTGTTGTTGTTATGTGCCATCGGGTCAGACCCGACTCATAGCGACCCCTCCTCGGGTTTCCGAGGCAGTATCGCTACGGAAGTAGATTGCCCAACCTTTGAAGAGTGGCTAGTGTGTTTGAACCACCAGCCTCCTGGTTAGCAGTCAAGTGCCTTAGGCACTATGCTACCAGAGCTCCCGGATTGAGTTGTATCCCCCCAAAATATGTGTCAAATTAATCAGGCCATGATTCCTAATATTGTCTGTTTATTCCTGCAGCTCTTTGTGATCAGGGCTGATCTTTAGGTCAATTGTCAGGTCCCAACACCACTTGGAATCAGGACCGTCTCATTACTCACTGTTTTTGTTCAGGTTTTTCCACTAGTTGGTGCTGAATCCACTTCTGAATACTTCCTTTCAAAGCTCAGGGCTCCAGGATTATCTTCTGTATCTCTGTCAATTGGTTTCTCTTTTCTTTGTTGAAGAGGGTCTGTGTAGCTTATCTGCCTATTCTTCCACCTTACCGGAAGTCTCCAACTTTTTCATTTTTTAAGAACAAAATCAAATCTAGTAAGAAACAACTGATAATTTGTTGTATATTTTTCTCCTTTTCGCCCCCTCCCTCTGTGCCTTTCTCCTTTAATTTCTATGCATAGTTCTCATGGAGATATATAGAATGCTAATTGGTTTCCCTTTTCTTTGTTGAAGAGGGTCTGTGCAATCCTTCTGCCTAGTCCGCCATCTTGCCCCGCCTCCCTCCTTGAACACCATTATTTTTTAAATAAGTGGCTATATTATATCAGGCTCGGAAGGAAGGTTGGGCAATCCTACTTCCGTAGTGATACTGCCTCGGAAACCCAAGGAGGGGTCGCTATGAGTCGGGGCCGACTCGATGGCATATAACAACAACAACAACAACAACAATGCCATGATGGATTAAATAAAGGAAAACATAAAAAAAAATTAAAGTTTCTTATTGTAGGGCATTAATGTAACACTTCTGTTTTTCTCACTTCTTTTAACTTCAATGAAGACTAAAGCTGTACTAGAGGTAATGAGTTTTTAGTGTTTGTTATGGATGCTGACTTGGTACTAAAAGCTATTTAAATCACTGTTTTGAGTAAAAACTCAGTAAGTATTATGGAAATCAGAACTTTCTCTTCTTAGTGACAGTGTTAATTATGATAATAGTTTATAATTGTCAATTCTTTAATAGTTTACAATGCATTGTCATAATAGTTTACAATGCATTCTTTTCATTTCAACTTTATACCGATATAAAGAGCATACAAGTAGATAATGTTTGTATTTCAGAAATGTGAAAAGTGAAACTTTGAAGTTTATTGCTTGCTTAGGATCACACAAGGAATTTAAAGTCTTACGTACTGATAACCTTGAGAGGACACAAGTTATAATGGAAAAACCCTGGAGTTTTGGAGCCATACACATGGGCTTGAATCCTGGTTCTATAACTTAATAGCTTTGTGGTTTTGGGCAAGTGGCATCATCTGTCTAAAAACTTGTTTTATTATCGGTTTATGAGGGTTACTTTGAAATGTAAATACAGTAACATGGTGACTGGTATAATGTTAAGGCATTCAGTAAACAGTAACAGCTGTCATTTTTACGAATAATAATGTCATCACATTCTCAAGAGACTTCAGATTTTGGGTCAGGTAGCAATTTATTATTATATATTATTTATAATAATATATAATAATATTTATTAATATATTATAAATAATGTTAGGTGTGACTCTGCTGTACTTACAGCTATGATAGAACTTATCATACCAGATTGTAATTGCCTGTTTACTCATTTTCCACCCCAGTAGACTGTGAACTCCTTGAGAAAATAGATGTAATAGGAATTTGGTTTCTACTTTATTTATAGGGTTAATAAGAGAAGGTTGAACACATTGAACTCCCAAGTGAAACACTTAATATTTGCATTAGGTGTTTGTGATGCTAATAATATCTGTCTAATTCCTAGCACATTTTTCCTAATAGATCTTGCTGGGCTCCACAGGAAGTCTAGTGTGCTTGAACGAAGTATAATTTTGGAAATGACTAATATAACTTGATAGAAAAGATTTTTGTAATTTTAGTGTTGGGAGAGGCCTTAGAATTTATGTTTACCTTACCCTTTTTTAAGGAGCTCTGGTTGCGTAGTGCCTAAGGCATTTGACTGCTAACCAGAAGGTTGGTGGTTCAAACCCACCAGCTACTCTGAGGAAGGAAGACTGGGACAATGTACTTCTGTAAAGATTTACTGCCTTGAAAACCCAAAGTGGGTTCCTTAAGTTGCAATTGAGTTGATGGCTGTGAATCTGTTTTTTTTTTTTTTCCTCTCCTTTTCCGAATGAGGAAAGTGGATGCCCAAGGTACTTTCTGTAAGGCCACACTACTGTTACATATAATTATTTTTAAGCCAGGAAAAGAGCAGTATATTAAAAGATCATCAAAATAAGATACATGTTGCCATGTAAGGAAAATGCAAACCTCTAAACTTCTTTTGCATATAGGAATATTATGCTAAGACAGTGTAAAATTTTATTCATTTTACCACTTACCTGGAGGTGCTTGACAAACAAAATAATATGACACTTTTACATTTTGCAAAAAGAGCAAAAGTAGGGAAGATGCATACCAAACTATTAGCATTGATTCTGAAGGGAGCTGAGATCAGGGAAGAGTAGGTAAAAATTATTTTTTCTTTATACACTGTGATATTCTTTAACTCATTATAATTAGTATATACTTGTTTTGTAGCAAAAAAAATGCTATAATACAGAAAATTTTCATTAGAAAAACCCATGAATGGTGCAAGCTAATGCAAAATATTTAGGGAAAGACGTGTGAAAGAAGACTTCTGTTCTCATTGACCTAACTTCTTAATTGAGAAGACAAAAATAATTTTTTTAAAATCTGAATTAGTAAAAATTTAAAGCATTAGTAGAAGAAATACTACAGTGAACTGCATGGTTAATTGCCATTTAATTTAATTATGGGAGTTCACAGGAGAGAGATTATAGTAATACATGGTAATCATAATGAAAGTATAAATACTGGAGTATAATTATTTCTGTTTCAGCAGATTATATTTTGTGCAATGACATAATATGTTTGGAAAGTTATCCTAAAAGCTTATCAGTTTTATCTTTGCTCTGTGCTTGATCATTTTGTGATGCCAAAAGGGAGCCTGTGCAAAGCATGCTTAAGCACTCACGGGAAGGATGTATTATTGCTTTATCACTTAGTAAGCACATTTTTGAATCTACCCAGTCACCTAACATGTTCATGAAATAAAAAGTATGCTACTGAAAAAAAATAAACTATTAGAAAGCAACAGAGATCAATTAAGTATTGAGTGGTCAGTTGCTACTATTTTGAAATTTAAAGTCCCATCATGTTTAGTTACAGTCTTTGCTGATTCTACAAAATATTCCATGGAATATTCTTAAAATTTGAAAAGCTACATTAAAATGTAGCTGTAATGTGGATATGTGTTGTTGGCAAAAGGACACTGTAGACAGATCACATTGCTTTTCAAGGTACATGACCTAATTAATAGCAATATGAATTTGGGAAAGTTGTTCAGCTTCTCTGGACTTTACTTTCTCACCTGTGGAGTTAATGTACTCTAACATGCATACTCTAGTATAAAAATGTTAGATTTAACTGGTATTAGGGATTGTGACTTTTTACAAATAAAGTGGTAATGTTGATGGGATTCCTAAAGCTTCTCTAATATCAGGAAGCACAGAGTAGAGTATATATTATGTTGAATATTATCTTCACTTACATATAGCATATTAAGTATCAAGGTTCATGTAACTTTAATAATTTTTTTTTTTTTTTAACTATGCCTATGCCATTAACGGGAGCTCTGGTAGCATAGTGGCTAAGACACTTGCCTGCTAACCAGAAGGCTGGCGGTTCAACCCCACCAGCCACTCCTCGGAAGGAAGGTTGGGCAATCCTACTTCCGTAGTGATACTGCCTCGGAAACCCAAGGAGGGGTCGCTATGAGTCGGGTTTGACTCGACGGCACATAACAACAACAACAACATGCCATTAACATACTATATATACTATTCCGTAAATTTACTGTTGAGGGACAGTGGTAGGAGGTAGCTTTCTGTTAATCTGGCTGATGCAAAGAGAGAACTGTCTTATTCTTGCTTTAGAAAACCTCCTTGATTTAACTAGTTAGTTGATCTTGACCTATATGTGTTTCTAAGGCAAATAAAATCTCATTTGACCTAAAAACCAATCTATGTCTCTCTACCATATTTTCTTTCAATCAGCAGTTTGTGGCCATTATCACAGCAGTTTTGAATTCTTCATAATCTTTAACATGCAAAATAAAGATCTGGGAATTTAGACAATTTATTTCTATGCAGTATTATTATGTATCTTAATGAGTTCTTATTCATGGTGTTATTTGTAAGTACAGAGCTTAGATTGTATAGTTATGATAAAATGGGTTTTTACTTACTGGGCTTCTATATATTCTTGATAGCTTATTTCTTTTTTTTTTTTCTTTTTCAATATTTTCAGATGTTTTGGAATGTTGTTAAGCCCAGGTCGAAATGTGAAGAACAGTGACATGCATTTGCTGGATATGGTAATGATAATCTTAAACTCTTTAACCCAGTATAGATAGTAATTATTTCATATTTTTAAAATATTTAGTATTTTAAAATTTGGTCATATTGTCAAAAATATTTCTGACTTTCAGCCATATGATAGTAAAATTTGAATTTGGAAATACAGACTTCAACTTAATTGTGAGGGAAAGATTTAGATAAATTGCCACCAAGAAATCATATGCAAGTTAAAAGCAAATAAAAGGATTGTGTTATGACAATGTCTGTCTATTCATCTGCTTGTCTTCTTAGGAAGATATCTTTTCTTTGAGCCAAAAATAGTAAGTACATTATTATAACAAACCTCTCCAGAGTGAAATATGGTACCTTTCATTTATTTTAAATGCACTGTTAATAATTTGAGTACTGAGATGAATGCTTTTATTTTCTTTGGAGCATTTCCCTTTCTTAATTTCCCCTTTATTATCTGACCTTAGCAAAGTATATATACTGTAAGAGTGATATTTGTTTAAGTAATTCCCTTAAAGGTTAAAATATATTCAAAAGTTGGTATTTAATGTAAAAGTAGCAAGCCATTTTAGCTTTTAAACAGAAATACTTATAATATTGCAGTTAATGAAAGCATTTGCTTTGTGATTTGGAAATGTTATAGGAAGTAGTCATCTTAGAGTAAGCATAAATTCCTTACTTAGTTAACTGAAATTTCATATTTACTTATAGCAAGTGTTCTATGTTTTTTTCCTTACAGCTGTGTTTTGCAAATGTTGGTTAAATGTTACCATGTATGTCAACTTTTTCTTTAAGTTATTTCATAGTAACATCACTACTGGAATAGTCTTTTAAGCCTTTTGGGCACCTGTTGTGTGCCAAACATTGTGTGAGGTGCTGGGATTACACATAGGAGTAAATCATAGCTCTTGTTATCTTTGAGTTCATAATCTAGTGATGGAAAACAAGACCTTTAGTTATGTAGTTGCAGCAGTAGGCTAAGAGCTCTTACAAAGTTTGTGCAAGGAGTCTGGATAAGTTAGATAAGGACAACCAGGTACATTAAATGTGAAAATATAAAATATCTATTGATCTACTTGTCTTCCATCTCTTTGTACAACATATCAATATGTGGGTGTTTTTACCTAAGGCAAGCTATAGCATTTCAGAGCCTGAAAATTCCATGAGGAGGTAGTTCAGGAACATTGAGGCATTAAAAACTTTTAAGTTTCTAGGTCCTAGTTGGAGCTCTGGTAGCATAGTGCCTAAGGCACTTAACTACTAACCAGAAGGCTGGTGGTTCGAACCCACCAGCCACTCCTTGGAAGGAAGGTTGGGCAATCTACTTCCATAGTGATACTGCCTCGGAAACCCAAGGGGGAGTCCTCTGTAAGCCATGTCCGACTCAACGGCACATAACAACAACAACAGGGCCTAATTAATCATGGTCCTTCAGAGTTTAAAAGAGTAAGATGACTTATTAGCAGAGAATTCTCCATAAAACCTAAATTCCAATTATAGAATTACAGACCTGGTATGAACTTCTGAGACCCCTTAGTCTCATCTGTCTCACTTGCAGAACAGTGCTCTATTTTTAAGAGTGCGTATCAAAATAGAAGTGCTCAGTGGCATTAACACTTAATACTTCTGGAAGGACAAGTGGGTCTACCTGCACAACTAATAGGTGGGCAAGTGGAAATATATATTTTTTTTTTTTGCAATTGTCAGCACTTTTTTTTTGTTATTGTTGTTTGCCGTCGAGCCGGCCCCAACTCATAGCGACCCCTCCTTGGGTTTCCGAGGCAGTATCGCTACAGAAGTAGGATTGCCCAACCTCCCTTCCGAGAAGTGGCTGGTGGGTTTGAACCCCCAGCCTTCTGGTTAGCAGTCAAGTGCCTTAGGCACTATGCTACCAGAGCTCCTTGTCAGCACTAGTGATTTGTTCTTATCCAGTGCCGTAAATCGTCATGGTATCTCAATATATGGTCAGTGAGCCTCCTTTGGTCTTATAAAAAGGAACTCATTGCTTTTTAATGAAGCCTGTGGGACAATTTTGGTTATTACAAAGCTCTTTCTTTGTAATCACCTGAAATCATATCCCTTGTAACTTTGCCTATTAGTCTGTTCTCTAAAAAAAAACAAAAACAAAAAGTTTCAAGAACAATTCTTAAACCTTGTATGTGTGATGAGCTCTGCTGTTCTCTATTCTACTTTTTTTTTTTTTAAATTATTTAAAAAAGATTCTGGCCTTAATCTACTAAATTGATTTTATGACCCCCCAAATGGGTCATAACTTGCTGCTTGAAAGGCATTGGACTTTCAGCTCAAGGGGGCCAGGACCTTTTTCTTTCTTTCTTTCTTTTTTTTTTACCTCTGGGAGCTCATAAGAAAAGAGCATACCCTACAGAAGGCCCTTGATATTTGCTAGCCTCAAAAAATAATTGCTTAATGAACAAATAGATTAGCATGAATGGACTTTTTCTTTTTCTGAGTGTCAGCTTCTCTTTTTAGTACCACCTGGCTGTTTCATCTTCCACTTTGCATACTTTACCTCATAGCTTCTGCTTTCTCATAACTTGACAGTAGTTCACGTGCCTTTGTGTAGTCTCTCTATCTTTGGACGTTTCAGCCTGTGTCCTCACTGTAAACTGCAATATTCTCTTTGTTTTTCTTAGTTATTTTCCTGTTGTTGTTGTTGTTGTTACGTGCCATCGAGTCGGACCTGATTCATAGCGACCCCTCCTTGGGTTTCTGAGACAGTATCACTATGGAAGTAGATTGCCCAACCTTCCTTCCGAGGAGTGACTGGTGTTCTGAGGAGTTATTTTCCTAAGAAGAGGGTTTTGGTGTTTCCAGCTTGGCCTGGTTTGGGCAGAGGCATTTATTGTCCAGATATCCCTCAGCTTCTGTCCTTCATCCTGCTGTACTGTTACTGGGGTTAGGGAAGCAGAGGAGCCCGGGAGAATGTACCAGCAGATTGTGTGTGGAAGTGTCCTTAGGAGGAGCGGAAGCCATGCCACATCGTGTGATGCAAGTGTCTAATTCAATAGCAAAAATGCCAGACTTGAGAAGCTTTTATTGAGGGCTTCCCCTGCGTGTGCGTGCACACACACACACATAATTCTGTTTTTTATATTTATTTCATTAAAAAGTATTTAAAAAATAATGCCCAAATCTACAAAAGTTACGCACACACACACATAATTCTGTTTTTTATATTTATTTCATTAAAAAGTATTTAAAAAATAATGCCCAAATCTACAAAAGTTAAATGTTCCTCTAAAGTAATATTTGCCTAACAACATTCAAATTCATTATTTTGTGTTAGAAAAGTTTTGTAGAATTCCTTTAGTGTTTCAAAATATTCCAGATTGATTGTGTCAATTTATATGATAGACACTGATAGATAATAAAAATGATCCCTAATTGCTTGTCATATACTTTTTTTTTTTTTTACTAAATGTTAACTTTCTAGTTAGCTTGAGCTTCTGTTTCTATTAATACTAACTCTGCAAAACAGCTTTTGTTTTAATCTTTTTTTTATTGTGATAAATATATAGGTCACAAAATATTTACCATTTCAACAGTCTTCACATGTACAGTTCAGTGACATAAATTATATCCATCGTGTTGTTCAACCATCACTCTTAACTATTCCTGAATTTTTCAGTCACCCTTACTAGAAAGAAACTCAGTGTCTCCTAAGCATTGCCTTCCTTTCACTCTCCCTATTGAGGGCTTTTGATTAAAGACACTGTTATTTTAAAAAATAACTTTATTTCATTTTTGTTTTTGGGAGTATATATACCAATTCAGTAGTTTCTACATGTATAGTTCAGTTATATTTATTACATTCTTTGAGTTGTATACCCTTTTATTTTTTCATGTAAGAAAAATGGTATTATAGAGGAATGCCAAACAGTACATTAATAATAATAATGTTTTTTTTTTTTTTCTGGCTTCCGTGAATCCTAGGATATAACTATGTTTTGTTAAGTGTATTTTTTTTTGTACAACCTTTCTCACCTTCCTCTTCTGAATTATTCCTTCTCTATTAACATAAACTCATTGCCTTCTAAGTCTGCTATCTGATCTTTCAAGTTGCTGTTGTCAGTTTGATCCCATACAGATAGATCTTAAAAGAACGTAATGCTCAGATATTCTTTACTAGTTCCAGCCTCCATGGCTCCAGAAAGTCTGGAGTCCATGAGAATTTGAAGTTCTGTTCTACATTTCCCCCCTTTTGATCAGGATTAGTCTATAGAATATTTCATCTAAATGTTCAGTTATGGTAGCTGGACATCATCCATTTCTTCTGGTCTCGTGGTAGAGGAGGCATTTTTTCATGGAAGTAGTTAGCCACACATTCATTTCCTCCTTTTATGCCTGACTCACCTTCCTCTGTCATTCCAGGTGAATAGAGACCAATTGTTATGTCTTGGATGGCTGCTTGCAAGCTTTTAAGACCCTAGGCACTGTGCAATGAGCTAGGAGATAGAAAGAAGCACTGAACACATTATTAGGCTAATTAATGGGGATGCCCCATGAAACCATGACCCTAAACCTTCAAAACAAGGAGCCAAATCCCATGATTTGGTTGTACATAAGCAGCTTACCAAGAGGACAAGGAGGTGCCATTGTCTGACCTCCTCTAACCCTACAAAAGGAAGACAGAATCACCATGAATAGCCCAAGGCCTATTCCTGTGAGGCCAGACATGCTGTCTCCCTCCAGCCCTTTCATCACCGTGACACCAACCATTCCTCCCGCAGCACCCACTACCTCTCTACTGGGTTCAATAAGTTGCTGCAGTGGCCACACAGAATTCACAGATTATGGGGTTTATTAGGGAAGAAATTCAAGTTCAGGAACATACTCAGTCTCTGTCAGCCTGCTGTCTCTCAGCTGACAGTCTCTCTTAGTCTCTCTCCCAGCAGTGCATGTACCTCGTGTCTCTCAGCAATGTGTGTCTCTCACATCTCAGTAATGTGTCTCTCACATCTCTTAGCAATGCATGTCTCTCAGCAATGCATGTCTTTCACATCTCTCAGCAATGCATGTCTCTCATGTCTCTTAGCAATGCACATCTCTCACGTCTCAGCATTGTGTGTCTCACATGTCTCAGCAATGCATGTCTCTCAGCAATGCATGTCTCTCACATCTCTCTTTTAGCAGTGTTGTGTCTCGCATCTCTCAGCCAGCAGTGAGAGATTCCTTCTGCCTCTAGGAGGGCTCCTTTTGAGCCTGGTGGAGTGGCCAAACTAACCATCCCAACATCAGAATTCTGTACACCCGAGAGAGAGAGAGAGAAAGAGAGAGAGAGAGAGCGAGAGAGAGAGCATCCCAGAAAATTGCTTCCTGCCACACTCAACAGAAATACCCCAGGTGGATAACTTTAACAATTAGGAGCTATTTAGTTGCTCACAGCAAATTCCACCACTGAGTTTACAAAGACTTAGGGCTAGAAAAGCCACACTATGTAACTTACTACACTGCACAACCTCAGCAGCTACTTTGTTGTTGTTATACCTATCACACAACTTTTACCAATCAGCTTTTTACAGGTGTATTAACTCAAAGAAAAAACAAACTCACTGCCATTGAGTAGATTCTGACTTATAGTGATCCTCACTGGGTTTCCAAGGCTGTAAATCTTTATGGAAATAGATTGCCCCATCTTCCTTCTATAGAGTCACTGGTGGGTTTGAATCACTGACCTTCTCATTAGCAGCCAAATGCCTTATCCACGACATCACCAGAGTTTTTTTACAGGTGTACTGCTTGTTGATAATAATTACATTAATTGGCTGTACAATCCTCTCCTTAATCAATGCAGATTTTCCATAGCTGTAAACTGAAATTCAGTACTCCATAAGGAATACAGCCCCCTAAGACTCTATTAATGAAGTCAAGTATTTTGAGGAATACAAAGAAATAACATGCTGTTAGTTTTTTGGTTACAAGAAAGAAAGATTCACCTAGAACACCTTGAAAGGTATCAATCTTCATGAACTTGTACCTAAGCCTGTGTGGTCTTTTCTCATTTTCCTCACCTCCCCCTGCTATGAGTTCATTCTTTTTCTGAGCCTTTTGCTTGCTTAGGGTCTTGCTTTCTTTCTCCATAGTACTGTCTCTCTGCCGCTGGTGCTCTGCTGCTTTTTCCCTCACCCTTCTCCCTATCTGCAACCCTGTCTATCTCTATGCTCTCTTCTCTCTCCCACTGGTTTCCTTTCTCTCTTTTATCTCTCTGTTTCCCTCTCTCTTCCTTTTCTCCCTCTGTGCTACCCACCATCCCCTGCCAGTCTCTGTTTCTCCCCTCTTCCTTTCCTCCCTCCCTCCCTTCTTGACTCCCAATCTTTGCTGGGCTCATTTGTTTGTTTTGTCTATATGTTTATTGTTTTTAAGAATTATTATGTTTGTTTTCTGCATTTCTGTTTTATCATTTAGCAATTTCCTAATGTTCTGTGCTCCTTATATATTTTTCGCTCTTTGTAATTTCTTTTACCCTACAACTTCTTTTTATATAAGCGGCCTGTCATGTCCTGACTTTTCATCAAAACCTTTTGACTTCGGCTTCTACTTCTGTCTACTTTCCTTAGTATTTGTTAATTGAAAGAGAGAATTCCTTTGGTGTCATTCATCCTGTCGGCCTCAAGCACAGCACATGCTTTGGTCCAGGAATGGATTGAGTTTCTTTGGATCAAATGGTCATTCCTGGTATGAATGGGGGTCTAGTGGGATGTAGAGCTATGTGTGTGTGACTGAGTGAGAGAGCTTGAAATAGAAATGAATGTGTGATTGTGTGTGTGTGTGTGTGTGTGTGTGAATGCTGGGTGGATTTCCTTTACAAATGGCCTCGGGCACAGCAGACAGTGTAGTCGATCTTTGGAATACAAGATCCCTGCACTCAAGCAAATGTCTGATGTATAGATAATAGAAAAGTATTAACTTTAAAGATATTAACTATTATAATGTAAATTAATATTTAAAGAATGTGCTAAAAGGAACATTAGAAAAAAACATCAACTTACCTATTTATCTGTGAGTAGTTAGCTATTAATTTATTTGTCTTCAGTGAGATCTATAATTTCAATAGAAACTAAGTATCTCCTCATATGTGTAGGTATATGTGATCTTGACAGCAAAGATCAAATTAAATATAATTACGTAGCAATATTACATTTTTATGATTCAGCATTTATGGGTATGCCTTATTTTATCCAAGAGATGTGTGTCTAAACAGAAACTGTATTTGAAGAAAATTGTAGGGGAATTTAATTTTTTAAAAAAAAATGCTTTTGTGGGGTGAAAAAAATTTACAAAAAGATAAATCTCTTTGCTTGTTTGTCAATACAAATTTTAATTAATTGGATTACTTTAAGTAGGGTATACCTTAATTTAAGATGATGAT